TTCCAATCCATGAGCATGGGAGGTCCTTCCATCTTCTGATGTCTTCCTCAGTCTCTTTCTTTAAAGATTTAAAATTTTCATTGTAGACCTCTTTCATGTCTTTGGTCAGGTTTACTCCGAGATATTTTTTCTTTTTTTGCAGCTATTATGAACGGGAGTGTTCCCAAGTGCTCTTTTTCTGACTGCTTGTTATTGGTATATAGAAAGGCTATACACTTTTGTAGGTTAATTTCGTAACCTGCCACTTTACTGAACGTGTTAAAAATTTCTAGGAGTTTTCGGGTGGAATTTTTGGCGTCCCTTAGATATAATATCATATCATCTGAAAAAAGGGATAATTTGATCTCTTCTTTTCCAATGATTACTCCTTTATTTTCCTTCTCTTGTCTTACTGTCTTGCATGAGTTCCAAGCACTTTATTAAAAAGGAGTGGAGATAGCAGAGAGCCTTGTTTGCTTCCTGATTTCAATGCGAATCCTTCCAGTTTTTCTCCATTTAGAATGATGTTGGCTGTGGCTTTATTGTATATGGCTCTCACTACGTTGAGGTATGTTACCTCCAATCCAATGCCCTGTAGGACTTTGAACATAAATGCATGTTGAATTTTGTCAAGAGTCCCTCTCTGCGTGTTATTGAGATGAACGTGCTGTTCTTGTCTGCATGCATTTATATGATTTATGATATTTTTTGAGTCGCGTTTATTGAACCGTCCCTGCCTCTCTTGAATAAATCCAATTTGATGACGGTGGATATCCTTTCTGATGTGTGGTTGTATGTGGCTTGCAAGAATTTTGCTGAGAATTCCTGCATCAACGTTCTATAAAAATATGGGTCAATAATTATTTTTCCTCGTTTTATCTGTACCTGTTTTGGACATTAGAGTGATGCTGGCTTCGTAGAAGGACTTTGGAAGTTCTCCTTCCATTTCTGTCATTTTGAATAAATTAAGGAGTATCGGGAATAGAATTCTACTCTAAATCCATCTTGTCCAGGGCTTTATCTTTTTTTTTCTTCCCAGGTGGGAGTGTGCATATTACAGTTTCAATCCTTATGTGTTCCAGGTTCGTTTAAGCTGTTGATGTCTTCTTGGTTTAGTTTTGGGGATTCCCCTGCTTTTAGATGCCTGTCCATTTCTTTTAGGTTTTAAGAGTGTATAGGTTTTTACAGTATTCCCTTGTCATGTTGTGGACCCCCTGGTGTCTCTTGTGGTGTTTCCCGTTTCTTCTCTGATTTTGTTGATTTGGAGGTGCTGATTCTTTCTTTTGGTACACTGGGCTAAGGACCTGTCAATCTTGTATAACCTTTGACCTTCATCCTTCATCAGGGCCTTGCGTGTGTGCGTGGCTTGCGCCGCAGCCATCCTTCGGCCGGGGATTTCTCGGCGCCGGAGGTCCTGCGTTAGCCCGACCTGACGCCAGGCCCTGAGCTTCCACCGACACTAGCCTGGAGCCCGCATCAGCATCAGCGCTGCTCAGCTCCCCGTTCTTCTTCTTGTTCTTCTTGTCCCTCTAGGCGAAGAAGTTGTCCAGGCTCCGCACCCGCATGTGGGCCACGGCCGCGGCCCGGAATCCGGTGTGAGCAGCGGGTGTGGTGCCTGTGGTTTGGAGCTCTGGGTGGAGGCTGGCAATGCGCTCAGGCTGCCTGGGGCGGCGTGGCCTGATCCCCGTGGTGTCGCGGAAGCGCGGGATGCAGGGCGGCCGGCTCCCTGGAGGCGCCCAGGAAAGGCGGTGATGCCCTT